TGTTTGGGGAATGAGAGAAAGTAAAAAATGCCTCACAAAAATACAAAAACATGAAATGAGCATATTAAAAAAAAAATCACAGCACAAAAGAACAAACAATGGTGTGCATCAGCAGGCAGAAAGCAAAATCAGTCATGTTTATACTGAATGAAAAGCTGTTTTCTGGTTGTCACGAGTTGATGCACAATTTTGTTTTTATCCCCCCACCAAGTTCTTAAAACATAGCAAAACAAAATGCAATTACTGGACAGCTTTTTCTCTCTTGTGCAATATCTGAGGTCAAACACAAACTTTGATACTTCTAGCAGAAACACTGGCCAATCTGTTATGGACATTGCACTTCTCTAACCCAAAATAAATGATTTAAGCTCGGCTGTAACCCAAGACAGATACATTTTGGAGGACTGTATTGAAATACTTGAAATTCCAGTGTATGGGATAACCGACATATCCTGCAATGTGAGAGCCATAGAAAGCTAAAAAAAAAATTAAGTGTACAGTCATCCATTAATTATCTTTCAAACATATCCGATACACATTATGCATAGAGTTCCTATTCCAAGTGCCTTCATTATTATTCACTGTACAGAAGACAGAGTTCTTCTTTCTTCCCCACAATTTATTTTGCATACAACACCCACACTGGTGTAATCTTTGATGGAAGCTGCTGATATGAGCAGCTACGAATGACACATCACACCATTTCTACACCTCCTTCACCATTTTCCTTAGGCTCCGCCTAATCACACCACTTTTTGGCTTGCTAGAAGTGCATGAAAACTGGTGCTTAAAAAAAGGAAACCTCTACTGCGTGTAGCATGCAAGCTGCTACTGCTGTCCTGTCCTTGATAATGTTGGCTGACTACTTCCAATGCTGTTCTAATGGCCTCAGAACTTTCCAAGTCACCAAAGTATACAAAAAAACGTTTCAACTGGCTGCTAGCAAGTTCAGTCAGTAACTCAATCGACTAATTGAAGTCAAAGTCAGAATTGCTGCAAGCAATTTTAGTAAACCAGCAATGGAAGGCTTTGCATTGCTCCGAGCACAGGTTGATCAGACCACACGAAAATGGCGGTTTTCCATTCAGATACATAGGGGGAAAAACCCCTTTCCATTTTCAAGAAAACACCGCAACCCACCTCTGTGTTAAAGATGAGCGAGAGGTCCATGTCCAGCTTTATTTTTATATTAAGATTGGCTTCCAAAGACCAATCCAGTTATGATAGAATTGTGTACATTTATGTATATCTACTCTGAACACGTCATTACATGGGTAGAAGTGCAAAATGTATTTAATCCTAGACATTGCACTACTATTCATACGACAGCACAATCTTCTAAAAAGCAAAAAGGTTGTCACATACAAACACACACACTCATAGGAACCAAGTCAGCAAGGATTGTGAAAGTGAGAAAGGGAAAACAGATTGTTTGTGAAAGGCTACAAATCAGATGAGTCACATTATTGTAAGGAGAGAGACCAAGACACAGTGCAGGCATGTGCGTGTGTATCACACTGCAGTAGGCTCAGAAAACAGGCTTTTATTTAAAACTTTTAGATGGAGCAGAGAATGATTTGAAATGATTGTTTGCTGTGTGTGTCCCCATTAGGGAGATTCCCCATTTTAGAGGACAGGCAAGTGTGCTGTCTTTGTTGCGATGTTTAAAGCATCTTACTACATAGTAATTGCTAGAGGCGATTAGGGGCTGGTTTTAAATCTTTCCGCTCATTAGGAATAGATTTTCACACACACAATTTTTGGCTAGAAAACCATGATATGTAATAGCAAATAATGTGACAGGTCCTCTTTCTGGAGACATCAGGGGTCTTTCAGACCCCTAATGTCACCTAGGGACCCCAAAGAAGTTGAGAAGCAGAGATCTGCTTCTCCGGCTTCTTCTCCTGGCTCTAAGAGCTTGAGACTGTAAACAGTGACACCGGAAGTGATGTCATACACGTCACTTCCGGGTCCAGTGATCAGAGAGATCAGCGGCTGGAAGCCTGCTGATCATCTCTCCGGTCAGTCAGGGGAGACCTGCCGTGCTGGCTTAAAGCCCCTCAGGGGTACAGGAGCGTGGCAGTGGAGGGGGGGCACACAGCGCTGCACAAGTGATCCGACGGCTGTACAGCCGTGGGATTGCTTGTATTTAACCCCTTAGTGACGTCCATTAGTAAGTCACTGGCACCAGGGCCGTTCAAATCAGACTCCCGGCGACTAAAGACGCCAGGACTCAGCTTTTACAATTGTAAACAGACTGTCGACTTTACAATAGAAGGGATTCTGGCGACTCAGCTGTCACCAAATCGCTTCTCCGGGCCGGCAAACTATCTGCACTTCAATAGCTCATTTCAACTGGACAGGTGAAATTAGGGGTCTTTGGACCCCCGGTGTCACCTTAAGGCCCCGTTCACATTGAGCGATTTATCGCGCGGTAATTCCCGCGATATCGCGGCTATTTACCGCGCGATATTGCGGCTATTTACCGCGCGATATTGCGGCTATTTACCGCGCGATATTGCGGCTATTTACCGCGCGATATTGCTCTTCAATGCATCTCAATGGGGCAAAGGGTCCTGCTGTCGCGGGTCGTGTGTCGCTACAGCAGGACCATTTTTGGAGCGGATTTTGCAGCGATTCTAAATGCAAGCATTTGCGCGATATCGCGCAAAATGCAAATCGCGCAACAAACGCGTGATTTTCGAATCGCGCAATGTGAACGGGGCCTAAAGAGTACCTGTCACCACCAATATGCTATCACATGGGGGGGCTTGTAAGCCTTCCTATGCGATAGCAATTAAAGTTAAAAAAATATATGTTTTAAAGATATTAAATGTAATAAATGTAAAGTTGCCCGCCAGCACGCACGTCATAACATAAACACGCGTTGGGTGCGCCTACATACAAAAACTATAATTGTGCTACACATGTTGCATATCGCAGCGCATGCCAGAGCGAGAGCAATAACTATAGGGCCAATATTTATGTGCATCTCAAAACTGATGACCTGTAGGAGCTTTTAGGGCTGCAACAACTAAATCGACATAATCGATTAAATTCGATTATTGAAAAAGTTGTCAACTTTTTCAATCATCGATTAATCGGCTTCCGATTGGTAGGCCCTGTCACAGGTCCACACACGCTGCGCGCCACACCTCACGCTCGCCGCTGCCAGACCCGCCCAGCCGCATCCACACGCCGCACCTCCTCCCCGCCTCACGCTCACCGCCCGCCCACATCCACGATTGGCACAGGGAGAAGAAGTAAGGAGGAGCAGGTGTGGGCGGATGACAGCCACCGATAGACAGGCCTGATCTCAGAAACAAGTTGCTGAAGACTGCTCACGTAAGCCTGCACTTTCCCACACGTGGTGCTCTATAATGTATTGCTGGGATAGTGGGATTTGCAGTCCTCTATAGCAGATGCCATTCTGCATCATTGCTGTATAATGTTACACTTTTCATTTCACTATATTGCACACCACAAACTTTTTTTTTTCTTTTTTACTTCCACCACTCCAAGCTTGCTCCTGTGATGGACTGCAATCTCAATACAAAGCTAGTAGTCCCATCACTGGAGCCATTTTTTAAAATTACTTTTATTTTATATCCGATTAATCGAACGTAATAATCGGCTAACTAATCGATTTTGAAAATAATAGTTAGCTGCAGCTCTAGAGCTTTTAAAGCGTATATGGACTTTTTGTTCGGGTACTGAATTTTGCAGGCCGTTAGGTATTTTAATGGTGTTTTTGGGCACTAAATTTAACTTCAGTACACGATTTTTTGGATTTAATACGTTGCGCTAATATCATGCAACATACAAATTTGCAACTGCCACCCTTTTATTCTACAGGGTCTTGGCTTTCAGAAAATATATAATGTTTTGGGGGTTTGAAGTAATTTTCAGGCCTAAAATTTGGATTAAACATGGGTGCAAAATAAAATATGAAAAAAGTCCTTGGTCATTAAAGGGGTTAAACAGCAAATGGCCTGCTTTTTAAAATGATACCAAGAAAACGGCTGCAGCAGCTGCATTCTTGGTATAACTGCCTCAGGACAGGACGTTGTTTTTACGGTGGGCGGTCCTGAAGTGGTTAAACCAGGACTGGGGCAAATCCCATAAGCCAGGTAGCCAATGTTCCTTAAAACAAATTACAGCTGGTGCCCAACTTTTGAGGTTCTCTAGTTAGCAATGTAACTGGCTCCTAAAAAATAAACCTGGCTCGTGGACTAGACAGAACGGCTCCTAAATTCCATATTAATTTGTCCACCCCTGGCTACAATAGACAACTTATGCACCATAATAAACTTGTCCAAAATGCACTTGAACTTTAACATGTTTGCTCAGCACCAGTACAGAATACTAGCCAAGAGAAACAAAACAAGGTCCTGAAACATATTACAGAAGACTGCTGAATTTATCAGGTCAAAGAGGAAAAAGATCCTGCAAGCATCAGCAGGTTTCTCCAGAGTTCAGTTGACTGACATCCGAAGCAGAAAGCCTGCACGCACATTACAAACACAGTGACAGCGTGAACACATAATGTGTATTTGGATTGAAGTCTGTTCATGGGATACAGCGCATAGGCAGATTGAGATCCTTTTAAGAGGTCTTATAAAGTGTTATCAATGGCCAGCAGTCAAATCTGTTACAGAACATACAGAGCTC